TTCCTCACAAAATGAAGACATCTCAAATGCTAATTCCTTTTATATGTGGGGTTTTGTTCTATCATCAATTCAGTATTACTCATTACCCAGCTATTACAAATAGCACGAGGGATAATTTGAAATTTGATAGTCCCAGAATGGAGTTAACCTAAGTCTGTAGCCATTTACTTGTCAATAGTCACATTTTTACTGAACACAAGGACTCAGACAGAAAAAAAAGCACAATGAAGAGGAACATCTCTGTTCAAGCAGTGATGCTTCCCTTGCAAGTGAAGGCAGCCTGTTTGCTTTTGTTGGGAGCTAATTCTACTCCCTCTGTGAGGTCTCAGAGGGCTGAACACATCTTTCTGTAGCCTGAAAATCCCTCCAGCTGCAGTGTGCCAATGTCCACTAGCCCAGCAGTGACACTCCTCTGTCAATCAGCTGATTATCTCCTCAGCCCAGCCAGGTCCATGATATCATGGCTTTCTGTACTCCTCTTTTTTGCTTCCCCTGTGGAAGTGAGATCAGTGGAAGGAAAACAAGGATAAACATTGCCTACTAAAACAGGCTGGCTAATAACTGGAGGGGGAGAGATGAGCTGGAAGCCTGAAATACGTACTACAATTAGTGGGCAGCTGAACTGAAAAGCAAATTACCCCACTGAGAGCATCTCAGAAGGGGGAGGTCATGGTCTCTAGCCAGGGCTGTCTTTTGGAGCATCCTCTCACCCTGCAGGCAGAGAACATCATTACCTACTTGTGAGAAGAGCACTTCATTTCACAGGGGTGCTAGAAGTTTCTCTGCACCTCTGCTGACAGAATTTGTGTGTGGTTTTCAAAGAGTAACAGGACCTGCCATTTGACACGACCCCATTTCACTATGGGAAGACCAAAAAATACGGTAGGAGGTGCTGAGATGGATAATTAATGTCTCTTTCCTGTACACAAAGAGAAACACGACTGTCCAGCCACAACTGTGGTGGGCCCATGCTGTTGCTAAGTTTGTACAGTTAAGGACTCGAGTCTGGAAGGCTCAGAATCTGAAAGAGTTTAAATATCAATTTATTTGAGTGGTGACAAGTGAATAGATGACCACAGAAGATTTTAGTCTTCTCTCTTTATCAGACTGGATTTTATTAGGGTTGTGTCAAGCCTGCCATGGCCACAGTGATTGGTTAGAAAGCTTTTTTAGCTAGTCTAGAAGTAAATAAAATAAAACCCCACAGACCTTCAGACTGTACTTCCACAGGGAAGCCCAAATGGGTGGGTGCTTTTTGAAGGGGTCCACATGGGAAAAGTGTCATAAATATACATAAGTTACAATAGTGAATGTGTACTGCACAAATATGATCTCTGAGCAGTAAAAATAAATAAATGAAATAGAAGAGAGGCAGTGCAATTTTATTTTATTTGAACAACAGGGAAAGGGTTTGAGGAAAGAGGAATCAGACTGGGGTTCTTAAAAAATTGCCTGCTTAGCTTCACTTTTGGTAGGGGTCATTAATGAGATCTGCTGCACTGATGCACGTTCAGTGCCCCTCCCCTGAGCTGCTGACACCCCTAAAGCTGATGTGAGTCTCACTTCCCATGTGCCTTCAGCTGTAGCTGTGTTCCTCACTGGTTTAAGTCTGAGGGAGAGAAAATAACTCCTGCTGTTAGAAATAGTTCTTAGACTTGAGTCAGAGCTGGAGAGGAGCAGGAGGAGGACAGTGAAGAGGGCTGGGCTGCTCTGTGTGTGGAGAAGCCCCTTCATCCCCCTGTACCTGTTTCCAGCCATATGCAGGGATAACAGCTTTTCCTCAGCTTACTGCAGTGTTGCTAGGATAAAGACTCTGAAGGGATTAGGTCCTGCAGTTGGAGGCTTTAAAAAGCACTTTGGATGGATAAAAGAAGATGCTGAAAGCAGCCTTGGAGGTCCTCATATAAACTGTACCAGGGCACAGTGGTGGCCTGGCATCCTCCTGGTATCTGCACCCTGCATCTCCCTCCCCTGGCCCAGCAGAAAAGATTCTGCTGTGTAGCTCACACTACGAACAAAAATGAAAGCGTGTGTCAGATGGTTTCCCAAAATATGAGACACACAATCCTCCTTAACGCTTTTTCAGCCAGTGCTGAAATGCAAAACAGTAACACTGGCTATCTCCAATTCTCTTTTAATTAAGAGTTGCAGCTGCCTTTAATTGTCAGATCTAAATAGCAAGTTGCTTCCAAAACATCTCGGAGAGATGACAAATCTCTTAGTCATGAATTTGAGCTGCCAGTTTCAGGCCCAAGTGGAAGAGCTGAGGATGTCTGAGTCAGCTGAGACCATTTTGCTGAATCACTCAGAAAGTCCCTGAGTGTTTTTTCCGAGGTGGCTGCAAGCACAGAGCCTGCACTGCTCTGCTGGGTTGGTCGTGTGCTGGCTGATCCAAATCTGCCTCGTGCCCTGATGTCACACAGTGGCTGCCATTTGAGAGTATTTTCTAGGGATTCATTCCCCTTTTCACCAACAATAACAGGATTTTGTTCCTCCCTCAAAATTAATTTGATTTGTTCTTGGGAATGGCAGTTCTCAGCACCAATGGTAATTTTTTTTTTTTTTTTCATTTTCCTAAAAAAACTACACAAGTCTGATGGCTAGAGGCCTAGTGATGGGGCTTTTATATGGATTTTGCATTCTTTTGTGAGTCCCCAAAATCATGCCAGACCATGAGAAATTATACATTAACATTATGATGCTTCATGTATTTCAAAAGGAAGCTTCTACAACATAGTTCTAATATTTTTTTGCATGAATTTCTTTGAATAACACTTCTGAGAAATTATAAGCTGATATGACATGGTACAGAGGCAATAATAGAAGAATTATGTAAATGCAGGAAGAATTATGTAAATGTAGGCTGGACTTTAATTCTAGAATTTTTGCTCTATGAGATCACAGAGAATGTCTGTGCTTTCAAGTGATGCAGGCCTTCGGTTCCCCTCTTTACCAAAAAACTTGGATTAGATTTTAGGTGATTAATTAAGCTGGCTATGCTAATTGCTATGCCTTAGCATAAAGATTATCATCTCTCTTTGGTGGTTGCAGTAACTCCTGCTGGATGGTCAGGGCAGCTGGAAAAACACCCGTTCTTCCCATCACTTCCTCCCTTGTGCAGGGAGCAGAGAAGCCCCAAAAAATGCAGTTGAAACCAAATTAGATGGCAGTAAGAATGCTGCAGGAGAACAACCTTGAAAGTGTCTACTGTACATCAAGTCATTTTAAGGACAGCCTGGGAGGCACAAAAAAAGAAAGAGAATTACTTGGCAGAAAAGGTGTGTGGCAGTGCTCCAGGCTTTGGAGTTATCTCGTACCTCTGACCAAGAACATCACTGAATTTATAAGCTCTGCTTACAGCAGAACATGTGGCAGGGAAAAACTCTTCTCACATACTCCTCTTGGGCAGTCTCTGGGATTCCAACAGTGCCAGAACTCAAGAGAGGAGCTCTCTTGGTGTTTGTAGTAGTGACACGGTGTTTCCACAGAAAAAATTCTGCTTGTGTTGATTGGGGAAATGCCAGTTTACTTCCTTAACTGCAAAGAAGTTTTAAGATTCCAGTTTTAGCTCTGTTGTTGTACCTGGATCTCCCTTTGAGGCTGTTGATGCTCCAGGGAGATCTTGTTTTGTGTGGTGTGTGTTGTGCATTGCAGTCAGCTTTGGATCCTTTGTGACAGCTCAAACCCTGCTGGGCTGCTGGCCCAGGGCTGTCAGTGGAGTCATTCCCTTGCAGCTGGCAGCAGCATCTGGTTTTTATGTTTTCAGTAGTGAGGTGCTGGGAGGATGAGCACTGAGCTCACCAGTGATGCTCTCACCCCAGGTAAGAATTGCAGGGTAAGCCACAGCAGTGCTCTGCAAACAGCTGCTCCATCTCTGGGAGCTCCTGAGGGTCAGGGCTGCCCCCAGGGACCTCAGCCCTCAGGCAATGCTGGCAAACTGAATTTTGCAGCTTAAGGTACCTTGGGGAGCTAGCTGTAGTGCCCCCAGGCGTTTTGACAGTGTGTTAATGAGGCCGTAATTCCAGCAGCATTAATCAGAGCCCAGGATGTAGAAGGGAATGATTCACAGAGAAACACTGTGTTCTCTCAGTCTGTCACTGTGGGAAGGCACTGGTAATGCATGAGTGGGATTTGTGATATTTTTCAGTTCACATGCTCAGGGATTTCCTCTGCAGCTCCAGGAAGGGTTTGATTTCCCTGTGGGAAGGAGGGAGAGGGGTCCCTAGAAAGAAGAGCTGGGGTTTCACAGGTTAGAGTGGCTGTGAGGGATGGCTGGCTGAGGTTCAGGGACCCTGCTCAGGCTGCTGGGGTGATGTGTCTGCACAAACTCGTACCCTGAGACAAACCAGATCTGTTGCTGGATTTTCAGGACGCTTTGTTTTGTCCTTTGTTATAGAGCAACCTGGAGAAAGGCAGTGTTGAAGCAAAGAGCTGCTGTGCAGAGGGTCAGGGCTCTGTTCACAGCAGAGCTGCAAACACTCATCCAGGAGCTGTGGATATGCTGGAGCTGCCCTGGTGGGGCATTTGGTGACCAGCACTGGGGAGGGTCAGCACTGCTGGATGCCAGAGATGTGTGCAGTTCTCACCCCCTGGTTCTTCCTCCTCTCCTTCTGCTTGTGATGGATTTGATCTCCTTCTGTTTCTGGTTGTTTGCTTCCGTTTATCTTTGCTTGGTGAAGTCTGAACACAGAGCAGAGGGGGTGTCCTTATGGGACATAAGCTCTGCCCTGCTACTCAGTGGTCAGTTTGGCCATTGGACTAATTTAGTGCAGATAATCTGAACTGTTTAAAAAAGCAGCAAGGCAGGTGAAAGAGTTTGATAAAGTCCCACCAAGAAATAGTGTAAAAACTGATTGTGGTATGAGAAGGAATGGAACAGTAGGGTTGTGATCCAGGAATGGAAAACATGTATTGAAACAATGGAAAAGCTCTTTGAAGAAGAAAAAGAAGAAGAAGAAGAAGCTACTTTGAAACTTCAGAAGTTCTTTGAAGAGATGGGTACTTTAAGAGCTTCAGAAAAGGCGAAGTGAACAAGTAAAAATGGTTTTGGTCACTGAGGTTCTCTCGTTTTGTTCCAGGTCTGTTCCAGCTTCTGCCCAGGGTCCCAGCGGTGCTGCAGGGGCTGCAGGGCCCCCTCCTGCCACCAACGTGTCCAGCAACAAGAGGCTGCAGCAGACACAAGCCCAGGTGGACGAGGTGAGTGCCACAAGGGTGCTGCTGGGCTTGGCTTCCTCCCTTGTGGACACATCTGAAAGCAGTGGGTCTAGGAAATCAGATCTGTCAAAGGAGGCAGACAGTCCAAGAGAGCTCCTGAATATAAACATCCCTGTTCCAGGAACAATTCTGCAGATTAAATGTGGGCATTGGTGCCAGCTCAGGGATTCCCCCAAGTCAGTCTGGTAAGGAGGAAATGTCACAGTGGAAGCAGCTCTTGTAGTGTGTTCCTGCACTCCTAAAGGCTAGCTGCTAATTTCACAGGCTGTGTCACAGACCTTCAGCCTCTCACAGGCAGATGAACACCACTGAACTGAGCCGCCGAGGGCGGTGCTCGTTAGCAACAGCTCTATTGATTAATCATCACCGTTTATCCCAATGAAAGGCACCCACACATGATGTCATAACAGCATCTTTAACAAATCCCCTCTCCTTCTCTTGATCTTGGAGGACCATGTGCCTGTTCCAGTTTGGATCCAATAATTCTTGGCTGTAATGGCAGTGTCCATCCAGCTGCTCTGGGAATGGGAACAGCGAGCACACCCTGCTCATGGGCACCTGAGTGTCCCACAGGGACAGGAGCAGCATCCTCACACACCTGCTGCGTGCTTCTGTGTGCTGCCTATTAAGGAAAGAATAAAATAAACCCCTCCAAAGCCTGAAGTCACTCATTGCTTACTGTCTGTGGTGGAGTGTGCAGAGCTTGTGTCATTCTTAAATGCCAATTTGATAGAATACACATTAGAAAATATCTACCTACATGCATAAAGGCCCCTATTTTTAAAAGCTTTGGGCATGCTGTAAAGATAGTAGAGAAGACCACAAAATATCCAACTCAAATGCATTCTTAAATGAGTTAAATACATGTGTCTAAGTGGGCTTTGTCTTTTTGAGAAGCTTTTCTTTGTGGAAAATCTGGAGCAGTGACTTTCTATCTCCCCATTTTAGGGGCTCAGAGTGTTCACAGCATCCTCTGGCTGAAGAAATGCTTGCAGAAATGCCTAGGCTAGGTTCTCTATCTCTTTATTTCCTCTTCCAGTAGGGAAAGGAATGTTACATTTTAGCTTTTGTCTTTGGTCAGAATAATGAAATAAACTTCTTGTCCTGAACATGTTACATCATGGTGGTCCTGTATTTGTTCGTGTGAATGACAACAAAAACAACTAAAAGTTGATAAAAATTGCCTTTTATTATCTTAAAATGAGTGATGCCTGTCAGATACATAGGGCTGTTCAAGCAGCTCATCAGAGATGGCATCAGTGGGGATAGTGAACCCCTGCTCTGTGTTTAAGACACTGTATTCTGACTCTTCTCACTCAGACCCATGAAAATTGATCTTTTCGTGGAGATGATGACTTAATTTTGGCAGTCACTCCTGCCCAGTATGAGGGGACAATGAGTAGTTCCTGGACTTGAGGATTAGGTGGGTGAAATTCAGGATTTGTGGGGGTTTTGCCTTCCATTTGAGAGTCGATTTGGAATCAGAGTCACAGGATGAATTAGGCTGAAAAAAGATGTTTAAGATCATCCAGCCCAACCTACAACCTAACAGCTCCTCATCAACTAAACCACTGAGTGCCACCTCCAGGCTGCTTTAAAACACCTGCAGGGACAGTGACCCCACCCCTCCCTGGACAAACAATTCCAGTGCCCAACCACTTTCAGGGAAGGATTTTTCAGGGGTTTGGAGTTGGTAGCACCTGGTCAGCAGGTCCTTTTTAACAGGGAAATCACAATACAGGAATAGCCAAGGGAGGCAGACTGGCCCTTCCAGCACTGCCAGGTCTCTGGGGTGACACTGGTTTGTAACTCTGAGAGATCAGGGTGATTTTTTTATTATTATTTTTTATATACTTTTAATGTATTCTCAATACCCTTACCATGCATATTTGTAATTTTTTAATATCTTAACATAGTCCTGCTACTTTGCTAGGCCAGAAGACCAAACATCTTAAAACCCTACAGTGTCTTGAGATACCAAAGCCTCCTCTAAAACATATCCTGTAAACTAAAACTAGGCCCATCTAGGGGGGAATACTTTAGAGATGTCACAGCATTCATTTAAGCCTCTTATTGAGTCATCTTTGTTATATGCTAACTTGCAAGGTCTGTAAATTTATTTATGTGATCTACCCTGTGTGTGCATTTTGGCACATTCCACCTTGGTGAATTGTTGTGCTGATGCCTTGGGGTGGCTCCCTAGAACAGAGGCTGGACAATAAATAAGAATAAATAAGAAAATAAAGTGGGGATTTATTGAAGGCCTTCAACAGGCACACCTTGGGCAGTCAGAAACCTCCCAGAGGCTGCACCCAAGCTGGAAGATGGTCACAAGTTTCTCAGACAATTACAAGTTTGGTCCATTTCCATCTCAGGGGTTGATGCTCCAATTCCAGCTTCAGCTAATGAAGTCATTTACCCCCAGTTTGCTCCCCCAATTCACTTTTGTTTATTCTTTCAGGGCCTGAGGCTGTGGGGTGTCCTTGGGCTCCAGGCCCAGAGGAATTGTTTTATTTGAATAAATCAGGAGAACAGCAGCTGACAGGCCATGGAGCTTTAGGATATAACCCTGAAGCACTTCAGGATCTGAAAAACATAAAGGCAACAATCCTAAGGCATCAGTACCATAAATATATTTATTAAATATAAATAAATATAAATTATAATATATAAATACAAACGAATAAGATGAAATAAATAAGTTAAATTGCTTTTCCCTTTCTCCCCGATCTTTCCCAGCTCTTTTCTTTCCCTGTTGGTCTCCCGCAGGTGGCAGCAGAGCCCTGGGCAGAGCAGGAAACTTTGGGGCTGCAGGAAATCACTGATATTTTTAATGCTACACCAATGCCCGCAGAATATTTCAGCTATTCATCTCTTGGGTTTTCCCACCCGGTTCCTCTAGACATCGTAGAGCTTATTTTTTTAAGGCCCAGGCAAACATTTATTTATTTGAGGAGAATGAAATCTCACCTGGACAAGTGTTCAGTGCAGCTGGGTTAGATTTGATAGGTAGTGCTGGGGAAACAAACAAACAAAAACTCGAAACAAAACAACAACTTAAAACCAAAACAACAAAAAACAAAATCCCCAAAAAACTGAGAGAATGGGTAGGAAATAGTATTTTGTTTCAGCATTTTCAAATAATTTAAAATTTTCACTACAAATCATTGTACCAAGGTAAAATTCAACTTTAAATACTAGCTGAGAGATCAATACTTAAAAAAACTTATTATTGTTTATATGAAGTTGAGTGCTGGGAAGGTTTTGGGTTGGAAAAGCAAGTTAGAAAATCTTGATTGACCAAAAGATTTCATTTTGGTTTTGGTTTGGTGGACAAGTGAAACAAATATTTTGTGACCAGTTGTTAAAGATTCTTTCTCTACCAATTTCATCTCACTGTATTTCAATAATGAATATTATCAATAATCAAATCATAATCAATAATCAAAAATAATCAATAATCTTTTAAATAACTCTGGATTTTTGCAGGTAACAGTTAAATTTTATTAAATGTTTATAACATGGAATTTCATGGTATAGAGCATGAGAATTAACAGGCAACCAGCCTCATTCACTGCTAGAAAAATTGGACACAGCTTTGCTGAGATTGTGACACTGTCTGCCATTCGTGGTGAATTTCTACAGGGTTTCCATTTAGTTATTGCCTGGCTAGAGGAGGATTTTCACCTTACCCAATGTATAAAATCCATGCAGGAGCAGTCCTTGCCTGCTGTGTGCTGGCTGTGCAATAAAGGTGGTGTGAGTCCTCTGCCACCCCTTGGGCTGAATCTGCTCCAGTAAAAGCAAGCTTCAAGCAAGACTTCAGATTATAGCTGAGAAGTCATCTTGCCCAGATCTGCAGAATGAGAAGATTGTTTTATATATAAACATATATAAAAAGTTATATAAAGTTCCCCCTTTAGAGTGGCCTTTGTCTGGTTTCTCTGCTTCAGGTAAGGAAGGTATTCAATGTACAAGGAAAATAATGGCTGGCTCTTAGCAATGTCAAATTGTGGTGCAGAGATCTTCTTCGGGCTTTTGTATCTGTATAAAAGAAATCAAATACTTTAGTGAATGTGGCATTTCATGATGTCCCTTCATTCCCTACCTCAAAGGGCACCCACACAGTGTGGCTCACGGAGTGCTGCTCCCCCAGGCTGGGATTTTGGGGCAGTGCCCAGGGAAATGCCATCACACACCACAAAGGCTGGCTTTAGGGTGAGCTGTGGCACGGCAGGCTGTGAACAGCGGGGTGTCCCTCCTGTGGGAGGAGTGCCACGTGTGTCTGTGCCCCCACAGGTGGTTGACATCATGAGGATGAACGTGGACAAGGTGCTGGAAAGGGACCAGAAGCTGTCGGAGCTCGACAACCGGGCGGACGCGTTGCAAGCGGGCGCCTCGCAGTTTGAGACCAGTGCAGCCAAACTGAAGAGGAAATACTGGTGGAAAAATTGCAAGGTAAGGAATAGAAATCCCTGCTGGGAATGGCTTCCTGGCAGGAATTGCTCTCACTTGCATTTAGTGGGACTTTGCCTGTAGGATTGTACCTCTGAGTCATCTCTTCCAGTCAAGGTGAGAAAGAGGTGCCTTGACCTTGAGGCTCCAGAAGTCAAGCAAGCAACTTTGGTCTTTGCTAGGACTCATAATTTCCCATAAAATGTAGATACAGCTTTTGGTGCTTCAAATAGGCATGGGAAAAAATTCCATGGCAATTCTGTGTGACCCACAAAACCTGATCAGGTGCAGCAAATTCTATCAGTGAGAGAAAAGAAGATTTTTTCCTCGTGGGGATCATTGATTTGATTTGATTTGATTTTCCTTCAGGATGGTAAACAATAAAAAATACCCGACAGTGGGTCCCACAAACTGCTGTGAGAAGGGAGGAAATTTATAAAGAGTGGGCTGGTTAGGATAGAGCAGGACTTCCATCAACCAGCTGCCTTCTCTGCTGTCTAATCCTTTCCCAAGAGCAGAGGAAATCCCACTCTCCTTTTTCAGACCTTCTCCAGTATTTGTGGATTCTGGACCCAGAAACTTCATCTCCTCTTACTCTTCTAAGACTCACATCTTTGCTTCTTCCTACTCATGCACCACCAACATGAACACTGTGCCAAAAGTTCTGCTTCATTTCCATTTCTCAGTAGCAACTTTCCTGCTGACCACTTATGTCCAGTCAAACAAAATCTCCCATTCCCAAGGGGGAATCCCACGCTCTGCAATCACAGTGCTACAAAATGTAAAGTAATACAAAATATTCTGGGTAAACTATATGTAAAAACACTCCAGGAATAAAAGGATGTAGGTTAGGAATTCAGCTGAGCAGGTCCTCTGGGCCTCTTTAAGCTGCTGCCCAGCTGATAGGCCTGGCTTTTTGAAGTGCAGGGCTTTTGGGAGCTACACAGATTTTGAGACAGGTTCACCCATGTGACTGAACTACATCAGACCTTCAAACCTACCCTCATTCTCCTTTCCTCGTCATCCCTTCCTGCTTTATCCTCGCAATCAATCCCCCTGTCCTTCCTCTGGGTCCCAAATTCTGCAAAGAGAGGGAAGAAATTAAAAAAAAAAAAATATATAAAAAACCTCCTGCAAGCCGATGGCTGGCTCTGTCCTCATGTTAGGAGGAACCACGCCCGTGTTTGTTGTTTTTCAGTCTTTCTGCTCACTGGGGTGATGATGGTGGCAGGGCTGCAGCATCCCTGGAGGGCTCCTTAGCTCTCAGTGAGCCTCAGGTGGGGTCCCTGAGCCATCCCAGTGCTGGTGTGTGCACAGCTGTCTCTGCTGGACCTGCTCCTGGGGCAGCTGTGTCCAGGAGAACGTGCTGGGAGCTGCTCTGGATGCCCTGGGCTTCCTCTCTCAGCAGCACCAAACTGCTGCTGGGCTTCAGACTCCTCCAGCTGCCTCTCCACTGACCCCAGGAACGCGGGGAAAGGGGTGAGGTGACTCTGGTAAAACGTGCTGTGTGCTGGGAACCCAGCCACTGGAGCTGTTTTACTCTGGAAATTGAGCTTTTCTCTACTGCTGGGGATGGTTGAGGTTGCTCACTTCATCTTTAGCTCACAGGCAAGAGCTGGGCAGCTTTGACAAGAAGCTGCTTCCATTGTTGATTTTAAAACTGACAGTAAATTTGGGGCCTTAGCAAGTCTGTTGCAGTAGGTGTTTACAAGAGTTAAAAGTATGAGGAATGAGTCACTAAGCAAAAGCAAAAAAATTGAGGGGTTAATGTCTTTCATGTGAAAATCTGACTTTGTCTTTCTTATAACTTTCTTTTTATAGATGATGATCATCCTTGGTGTAGTATGCGCAGTCATTCTCATTATAATTATAAGTGAGTAATTCATTTTCTCTTTTATTTATGATCTCAGTAGCTTGTGACTTAAGAATGGCTAATACATTATAAACCAAAGCAACAAAAAAATGGATATAAAATATTTAAACCGATTAATTTGTGAAATTTCCCTTCTAGTGTTGTGCCTTTATAGTGAGAATTACTTCAAACTCCCTGGACACATCGGCAGAATTTGCTGACATTTAATGTTTTTTACATTAGCACGTTACATAACTTTCCCTAGGATTAAAAGCTGTCCTTTTTTACATTTTAAATAAATTTTTATGCAGTCTTAGAGATCTTGCTTTCGTTACGATGAGTGCCACAGTCCTGGTGTTTCCTACTAAGAGCAGTAATTCCTGAAACACCTCATGCCTATAAAAAGAGGGGGAAGGCACACAGGCAAACAGGCATCTGATGAATTTTTTAAAAGTGTGTAGGTGCTGGTTTCTACCACACCAGCTAGAATTTGAGATGTCAGTGTTTCTGAAGATCCTTTTGCACCTCCAATGCCCAAACGTTGTTAAAAGATGGCCCAAAGTCTCACTGATTTCCTTTCTCATCTCATTCCACGCAGTTGTAGGGAAGTTGGCAATGAATGAATAATAGCAGTCGTGCTGCTGGGGACTCAGGGGCCTCGTAATGACAGGAACTGAACATTTCATTTATGTAACCCTCTGTCAGCAGCAGCTGCTAGGTGACATAACTGTAATATGGCATTGACTCCTGAAAGGGAGATTTCTTCAGATACACAATGCAGGTAGTAACCCAGAAGAGACTCAGCAGAAGGCCAGACTGTGGCTGTGAGTTAATTCCCAGCTCTCGAGTTACATGCCTGGTATTCAGCATGTTTCCATTTTCCCCTGTTGCTCCTGCAAAGAAAGCTTACAGGATCACCTGTAAACATGACTGAATGGAATGAGATACATGTGACACTTTATTAGCCTTATGAATGCTGGCACCAGAGTGACCCAGAATAATTCCAGGTTTCGTAACACTGATACAGCAAGAGTGGGAAGTGGTTAGATATTAATTAACTATATTAACTGGGAGCTCAAAGAAACTGGCTTCAAGAGAAAGACCAGCCTTTGTTCTGCAGCCTGGTGCAGCAACCAGACAAAAGATGTGCAGCCACTGAGCTGACTGCTGGGTATGTATTCCTCAGTGAGCATGGTGTGAGTCTTAACAAGACACTAAAAAGTGGTCAGGATAGCTCCTGTCTCCTCCATAGAGGTCTAGGCTGAAACATTTATAAGTAAGAACATCGTTTTGCTTTTGGTTTTAAATGTTGTAAGTTAAAAAACCCCAAACCAATAACCAAGAAAACAACAACAACAGCCAACCAAACAAAACCACAAAAAAAAACCCCACAAAAACAAAACAAACCAAACAAACCAGTGCAGGTTTGACATGAGTTAGGCTGAGTTTAGGGTATTTAATCACAAACTTGAGTGTCACATTGTTCATCCCAGGCCGTGGCTCACCATAGTGAGATTGAGTAGCAGGTCAGAGAGGTTTGAGTGGACCTGTTGAGATTTGAGTGTACCTGCTGTTCAAATTATTTTTCCAGTCTATTTGATTCTTTTGTGATAAGTGCCTAAAGGGTACAGCTTCAGGAAAGATCTTGTGTATCTAACTTAGTGCTGTGTTTATTTACCATAGCTCTCAAGTAAATGTTTAAATCCTACAGACACCAAGCATCCAGATGCTGTTAGACAAAGCCTGCATGTCTTTTCCAGTCTGTGATCTGAGTAGGAACAAGATCATCCCCTCAACAAGGGGTGGATGCAGCAAACTGAGCCACTTTTCACTAACTCACTAGCTAACTCCTTCAGAATTTCTAAGAAGAATTCATAGAAATTAAAAAAAAAATAATAGTTTGATGGGTTGGGTTTGTTTTTTTTTTTTTGTCTGCAATTTAATTAGGGAATAGAAGCAGAGATAATGGAAGTGTAAATATTCCCACAGTGGAGTATCTCTCCTGACATGGTTTTAGATTAGAAAAGCTGCCATGGGTGCTGGAATGGCCCCAGCTGCCTGCTGGAGGCTTTGCAGGTGTTGCTGGGGCGAGCAGCTGCCATCTCTGCCAGCCCTTGCCCTTGCTGCCTTTTGAGCCACAGTCTCTCTGCTCTCTGCTCCAGTTTCCCCTCCAAATTCCTTTGCTCACAGGAGAAGCATCCCCACCTCTGCTAACAGGAACTCTGTGTGCCAGACACATCCCGCTCCTCCAGCTGAAATGTGCTAAAGATGTTTGCAATGCTCTGACATCACGCGCTTCTGTGAGATAAAGCACGGCAGTAACTCTGTGATAACTCTTTTTGTCTTTTTTTAAATCTTTCTTTCCTTCTGCTTCATTTCCCAGTTTATTTCTCCACTTGAAAGAGCAAAGAAGGAAGACTTGGCACAACCTTGTTCATATCAACCGACGGTATCAGTGTTCCTTTGTTGAACTCCGCTTTTTAATTCCCGGCCTCTCGGGATTTTTGCTTGTAATAACCCATAAGCATTCAGTGTGGTGTATTTTGGAATTCTGTTGTTTCCACAAGAAACTGTACCAGCTAAATACTGCCAAGTAGTTCCATACACTGTCTAATCACTGTGTCTTAAAATGTGTGCGCACTGACCTTCAGAAACTGTAGTATATGAAAAGCATCTTAAAACATCTCAGAATCAGAGAATGCAGCTGTGGGGAAGCTCCTGTTTAAAGGGACACTGGCAGGTGGATTGGACCCAAACTTAAGGTTGCAGCAAACATTAGCACCAAAATTCTCAACTGAGCTCCTGAAGTTGGATGGCAAAATCCATCGTCAGATGTATCTGTTGCTCCCATTGAAGAAAATGATTCCTATAAATATTCATGTAAGATATCATATTTCAATTTAACCAACCAAACACAGCCTTTTTTGAGATTAGGCGCAGAATCCAAAACTAAAACACTGTCCACAGAAAATAAATGAGACTGGTTTATCATCTTTTTATGGACTTTATTTTTGTCCCTATGGAAAGCACCTCTGAACAACCAAGATGGCCTCACTGTGAGAGCAACAAAAATCTGTGAGAGCCAAAAAGCACCAGCTAGCACAGTCCTGGAAAAGCCAAGTGAAATGCAGGAGTGGTAATGCAAGCATCACCAGTGACTCTTGCCATTTGTCAGGTTTCATGGACATGAACTGGCATTATTGAATGCCAACCCCAATAATTAGAGCCTGGTTTAAAGGCCATGAGCAGCTCTGGTGATGTCTGTGCCTGCCCAGCTGCCTCTGCAGCAGTTTGCAGAAATGGTCCCCACTGCCAGGATCGCTCAAAAACCAGGAACAAGTAGGGGGAACAGTGGGCAGAGGCTGAGAAAGGGAAGGGTGCCTAGCAAAGCTTTCCTGGAGAAGAGGAAGGAACAGAAACACTGTCCAAAGTGGTGTTAATAGGGTTTATAAAGATATACTTGAATTTGTGCATGTGGATAGTTCATAAACTATACTGTCATCTTTGTAAAGTGCTCAGCTGAGAGACCTATTATACTCAATTAATTTAAGCTAACATTTAATGTAATTAAAAGAAATTATATGTTGTGGCTTGAGAGAAAGTTCTTGTATGCTCCTGTGAATTTCTTGTTTCGTTTTTTTTAAAGCAGTGAATAGTTTAATCATCCTTAACCAAACTAAAAATTAATTAATCAAATTTTGAGCCAGGAAATTCAGGAAAGGGTCTTTTTAGGATAACTCCTTCAGAATTTCTAAGAAGAATTAATAGAATTTTAAAAAAAATAATAGTTTGATGGGTTGGGGTTTTTTTGTCTGCAATTTAATTAGGGAATAGAAGCAGTGATAATGGAAGTGTAAATATTCCCACTGTGGAGTATCTCTCCTGATATGGTTTTAGATTAAAAAAATGGAGAGCCTGGCCAGTTTGTTGCTGTGAATCTATACATAAATTGTGCAGAAGTAGAATTTTGCAGAGAGAATAAGTAATGATCGATTGAAAGGTTCCAGCTGCATTTCCCCCTAAGTATTTATCACTTTATAGTCACGTGTCCTGCTTCATATCATTAAGTCATCAGTGGCCCCAGTCTTAATGAAGCTGAATATTCAAAGTTACTAATGTGATAGTGGATTCCCTGGTATGCCCTGATCACTTCAACACAACACAAACAATTCTGAAATCCTCATGGGCTGGACAAAAATCGTAGCAGCGATGAGAGGCCTGACTCTGGAGGGGGCACAACTGAGGGCTGTGTAAAAATGAGCTTGCACTGGTAGAGGAATGAGCCATCCAACTTCAGGAGCCATTTGAACTGCTAAGATAACTGGATAGCTGACATGAAGGAATTCTCTCCTGAAAGTGGGACCCTGCCTCCCACAGCTGTGTTGGGCGTGGTGTCCCCAAAGGGCTTCTCCACCGAGCAGCCTCACGAGATGGAGATAGCTTTTGCTGGAGGTGGTGCAACTTCAGGAAGGTGAAATGCTGACACTGAGCCTTAATGCAGATGTTCCTTCTCCTCTGGGAGGCTGAACTGGTGCTCAGCTGGCAGGACTGCAAACACACATGAAAGAGTTTGAATCCTCTAAAGCTCCCAAATGAAACTGCAGTGGAAGTGCTACAAGGGTGCAAAGCTTGCATCCTCCCAGCTAATGTAGTTCCAGCAAGTTAATAACCAAATAATACCTTCAGGTGAGAGTGGAGAATAGGAACTGCTCTTTGTGGAATGTGGACCCATTCTCTCTCAAAACTGTAACTAATGGGGATGCCTGCTAAATATAAGTGAGAATTTGCAAGGAAGAGCTAAGAAACCTGCCTTCTAGTGGGTTGTAGAATGTTTGTGAAGAGACTGTTTCCTTCTGTGTGGTAATGAAATACGGTAAATTAATGTGTTTAACTTTCCAAAGCTGTTTGCCCAGGGTGTGCTGGTGAATGCTCAATGTTTGCTACTGCATGTGCTGTGGTGGTAGGTTGTAATTGGTGAGATAAACTGTGTAACCTTTCTAATTCAGGAAGCATGAACAAGTGTGTCTTTCCCCCATGCACAGACCCAGAGCTACTCTGGCACAGAATATGGTAACACAGGACTGTTCAGGGTCACAGATTGTGCAAGAGCATCACATATGTGCAGGCTGGTGCAGAGCACAATCTATACAAACACAGCTGGAGATCTGATTTGTGTTGAAGCCAGGATTGATTGTTTTCCACTCACTGCTTCTACATTTTAAATGCCCGTGCAGTTACGACTGCCTGCCTGTAAGTTTTCCATGGCAAGGTTAAGTCATTCTTGTTCAGTCACCACTGATGAGAATTTCAGCTCCTGCTCTGCACCACTGACTGCTGCCTCAGCTCTTGGGCTGGTAAAGCATCACAAGAGGGCCCCTGTTTAGTGACTCCCTGGCAAACCCTCAGGGCACTCCTAGGCCACTGCTTTCTGACTGCTGCCTTGGGGACCAAACTGCAGCCTCTCCTGGCTGCAAGCAATGCTTCTGATAGCTTTATCCAGAAACAGATACTGTTTGAGGCCTGCCTGCTCCATCCTCACAAGCAGCTCCTCCCCTGCTTTCCGGAGCCCAGCTGTACATGCCAGGGGCTGTACAGCAGGAGATGCCCTTCACACACAGCACAGCGGAAAGCAAGGGGTTAACAGCTGCTCCATGCCTGTCTGTGCTGCTGCTTGGCTTCTCAAGGATCTTCTCAATGATCCTGCAGCAGCCCCTGAGCTTGGACAAGTGTTGCTTGCACCCACCACCAACAGGTTACTGAGGTCCTGCTCGGGCATTACACCTTCTCTCCAATTCAGCTCACAGATGTGGATTTAAACCCCAAAACAGCATTTGCACAGAGCTTGGCAGGAAAACTTAGTGTGGAAACCCTAAGGAGGTGCTTGACCTGATCTTCACAGCATTCCATGACAGCACAGTCAATCCAACAGAGTCAAACCTAATCCAGTGCTCTTAGAAGAAGGATGGGAGAATCTGACAAGGATTCTGAACCCAGGGCCTGTAAGACAAGGGGTGAGTTAGAAATGTAGTCAGTTGGATTTCTAAAGCTGGCACTTCCATTCAGTTGGAATCCACATGAGGTTAGCCCCAGGAACAGTTTAGACAAGTAAAATATTTGGGTTTTTCCTTTTTATATCGTGATCTGCAATAAGTGACTTAAACACTCAGTGATGGAAGAGCAGGACACCATTGACTGTGCAAGGAATTAATTACAACAGCCTCAATCTGCTGTGCTTTTGTCTGAGTAGCAAGACCTTTTAAAATTCTACTGTTTCTGTCACTGCTCCTCTGACAGGGACCCAACTTTCATTTTATGAGCAGCTGGACTACTTCTTGTCTGAATACCAAGGATTTTAGCCCTTAAGAGCAAATTCTTGACATTGGTAGTAGAACATACCTGCAAAATGTGATGTCTGCTTCTCAGAAGGGCACCCACCATGGCAGAGTTAAACTTCAGGAACTTCTAGAAGATCAAGCTCAACTCTTCCATGATTTTTCATAGTGAATTTTCTCTATTCCATGGGAGATTATCCACACAGAGGGAATATGCATGATCTATTATTTGATTTTTAAGAGAGCACCTTGACTGCATGTTGGTGGGAGACCTTCACCAATAACCTAGGGAGCACTTGGGGTGTGATCCAGGATTTTCATCTCAGCCCTGCTTCTCCTGCCCTTTAAACAGGGAAGTGAGCTGAACCTGCAGCCTCCCAGTGTACACAGTGAGTATTAGAAAAAGGCCTCAAAGTCTCTTTGGTCTGGCTTTGCATCCTGACCTGAACTTTAGACCTGTAACAGATCATAACCTTTGGGCCCTCTGTCTCGTCAGAAGACTGGGATGCTCTTCCAGCCAGTTCTTCCTCACCTGATTTGCTAGACAAGAAACTTCAAAGCCAGAGAAAGCACAAGCACCCTCAAATTAGCTTCTTTAAAAGCCAAATTAAAAGGCAGAAGAAAGTAGATTGAAAAAAATTAATTGCAGCTAGAGAAATGAGGCTGGAGGTTTCTCAAACAGTAACATTATTGTCAGGGGGGGACACTGGATTGGGGTGTATGAAACAACCAAAGCAGAACCTCACACCAGTTGTTCTTTCTCCATCTGGTCTACTTCAGAAACACTTCAGGAAAGGATTCAGTTTTCCTCTTCAGTTAATTTTCCTTCCTCAATTGATTAATGTATGTCTCAATTGATGTGCTCAGTAGTTTTTCTACTCCATTGAGAACCGTAAGACTCTCTGCCTCTAAACACATGCATAAAAAGAGATCTGAGCCACCCAAGGAGTTTACCTTCCTTCCTGGTGCACTGACATTTAAAAGCTACATCTTAGAATAAAGCAGAAAAACTGTGGCAGTCTGGTTACATGCAGTTTTGGTGGAGTAAACACTTGATTATTCAACAGTGAGTCACTCCTGCAGTAACCTCATTCTGTCATGAGTGTATCACATCTGCTAACTCTCCAAAGCAAACCCAGAACCTGCACTGCTTTCAAACATGAATTCAGCCTCATGGTTTGCACATAACACTCTATTCAACCAGAGAAGCCATGTGCTACAAGTTTAAAAGGGCAATGTGCTTGTTCTCAAAGAGAAAACATCATAGGCAACAACAGAGACAATTAGAAAAAAACCTTCTCCATTCTTTAGCTCTTCTCACAGTGTCTGGCTTAGCCATTATTCTTCAAGTCTCTCTCTGTTCTCTTAGAAAGCCACTGTGGTTTTGGAGCGTGGTGCATTTGGAACACAGAACATTGTTCTGCCCTCTGGGTTGTCTCCCTGCCTTCTGCCCCAGTGTCACTGCTGCCCTCAGCAGAGCTCAGGTGAGCCTTGGCTGAAGCAGAACCTCCTCCCCACAGTGCCCAGCTCTCCTCAAACCTCCACCCCCTGGCTGACAGCACCTGGGGCAGAACACGGCTCCTGGGCCTTCATTTGGCTCAAAAACATCTGACATAAAAGAAGGCCAAACAACAGCATTTTTGCTACACTACTTTAAATTGGAATTATAATTACATTTATTTAACAGTTCTTGTAACAGAAATTTCATTAATTCTTTTGGAAAGAGAGGGAACACTAAATAAGGATATTGTGGCGATCACAATACTGTAAATTGGGAAATGGTCCAAGTGAAATATTGCTAACATTCAGTGAAATCCTTTTTATAAGTGGCTCTACCTAAGAGCACCCTTTTCATATTAAAATTAAGCAGTGCTTGTCTATTAAATTCAAATAGCTGAATGAACTGTGACAGATGGTAGGTTTTTTCTGGCCAGTGCAGGAGATGGATGGTGCAGCACTCCTTGCAGAGGGCACCATTTGGGCTGTTCTAGCCCAGGACATGGGGCTGCTGGCAGCTTCAGTCAAATCAGCATTTCAGAGTGCCTGGGGCAGGAAAGATCCAGCCTGAATGTCCTAGAGCAGTTTGAGCTCGGTAACAGAATCTTTTTGACACAGCACGATTATTACCTGTGCCTGTCCACCTGTAAATGGTCTAAGGTGAGGATAAAAAACCCCTCTGTTGAATCTCTTATATTCCTGTCATATATATGTGAACACATGGTGGTGGTCTGAGTTCTTTGTGAGGAAAAGTTTAGAAGGATTCAATCAGTTTCTCCCCCTGATACACTGCGGGTTTGTTTAAAGTAAAATTAAATAATGGCAGCTGCAATTATTTTCTTTCTAAGATGAAGGATTGAGATAGTGCATATAATGGACCTACAAATTCATAGATGCTCAATGCATAATTTTTTCAGAAGTTTAGCTATTAATATTTATATTGTTCATCTGAATGTTTGCTAAAATTTCTTTATTAATGAAAGTAGTCTTGGCTGGAACTGAAAATTCAGTGATCAGTGTGACTACCATGCCACCAGCAAGCTACTAAATAATGCAAGTTCAGCCTTTCATGGAACCCAAAGGGAAAATATATTCTGATCCAAAGTAGAAATGTATGGCAAAGACTATGGGTATAAAGTTTAACCATGACTTATTTATATATTATTTAAGCAATTAACAGCTAGAAAAATAGTCAAACGCTTAGTTTCCAAAGCTTAACTAAGGATGAAAGAACATTTTTTTTTCCTCACTAGAAAAGCTAATTTCAATCTATATTCCATCTACTTTTTCCCCAGACAATAAAATGCTAATATTGCTATGACACACTCGCAGATCTGCACAATAAAATGTTACGGATAGTTTACTTATCACTAAAAACATCATTATTTTTGTAAATGAAACGTCCTCCCTCCCCCAACCACAAATGTGGTAAAATATTACTCACATGAGGTTTATCAGCATCACTGAAAGATTAGAAATTAGCACCTCCTACTCAAGAGCAGGACTCAAAAATATGCTTTGTCTGTTGCAAAAATACATTCTGAGGGGGAAGCACAAACTGTGTAGAGGTTAAAGTTTTATTTGACAGCTCCTATTCTTTTTTCCTTCCCCTTTCCAAAGGAAGTGCTTATATATGTAGAGAGGCATTTACCATTTGGGTGAGGTGTTCTCCTTCCAAGGATGAAAGAGGTGAAACAGCCACATTCTACTGTGAGCCACCTTTAGTCGTTTTGCAGCATCAAAAGTCCTCTAAGTGGCAAGGTATGAACTCTTATTATAAACTTGTTATGCTCATTGCAGGAAATGAGTTCATAGCCAGCTAATTAGTATTTTCCTTAACGACTTGTGCTTGAGTGTTAGCACAGAAGAGCAGCCTCTGGAGGTGTTTGTGCAATCAATTCTGCACTGCAGTATCTCACACTCGCCAGCCTGGAGCGAGGAGCGAGGCATGTCCTGGTCTGGAAGTGACTTCAACGTGTGCCCAAGCACACAGTGAATTTCCATTTTCTGTTTAACACAACGAAAAAAACCCTCATTTGTCCTCGCTAAATCCAGGCCTGGCATGGAATCTGTGCCATGTTCTAATTCAGCAGTGGAAAAAGCTTTCCTTTGAATGATAAAAAATACTGGGGTGAAAAGGACCCTCCGGGGCTGCCTGGTCCAGTGTCCTGCTCGGAGCAGGGCTGCCTTTGGGGCTGGAGCAGGTTACACAGCTTTGGTTTTGATGAGGTTTGAAAACCTCCAAGACCCACAGCTCCACGACAATTTCTGTCATTGGGTATGTTCAGTGCCCTACCAAGGCTGATGGAAGTGCAGGAAACACCTCTGTAAGTGCACGTGCTTTATGGTTTTGCCTTTTTGTTCTGTTGTGCACTGATCTGATTAGAATCGAATTCAGACCTAGTGGAATTAGGTGTAACCCACCTCTTTTTCAAAGAATTCCCACTGAAATTTTCCTTTGTTCTTGTTGCCATTGGATGAAGGCAGATGTGATGATGCTGAGGACATCAGTGCATTCTCTCCCCTGTGTGAGTGTGTGAAGCCTGCTTCTCTGACACTCAGCCTGGAATAGGCACAGAAGCAGACGCAGGACCTCTGCTGAAGTCTTGTTCTGTATTATCTGAGGTCAGTGACAAAATCTGGAGTGGCTATTAAGTTACTAAACTGGCACCAAAGAAAGAAGAGGATTTACTGAGATTACTCCTTCTCCTCACAAGTAACCTTGGCAATGCCACACCCGTTTCAAATGCTGATGGAATTGCAGTGCAAAATAAAAACCTTTCTTCTACCTCTTTCCTTGTAATTCTTCAAGCTTTACTTCCTGTAATGGGAATAACCAGAAATAAGCTTTCAGTTGCCCTTTTAAAAGCCCAAACTCCAGACCAAATCTCTAACTGCATTCTTTTTAAGGCCACACCGTGGTGTTAAGCTCTGTAGTAACACACTCAGAAAGGACCTGAAAGTCTGTGCTGAGAACAGCATCTCTCACCTCACAGACTCAGCTGTACTGAGCAAGGAGCTGTGATTTGTGCCTCTACAGAAAAACAACCCATTTGCACCTTATTGGAACGATCTGGAGAGGGAAAAAATAATGTTGTGGAGACCAGGACATTTCTTAAAGTGCTTTACCTGGAGGTCAGTGGAATTTCATTTATAAATGATAAAATGCATGTATTTTGATGCTGAAATTGTGATGACTTACAAAGTTTGATATTACTGTACTTTTCTGTGAACGGTGATTTTTTTGAAGTGGTGAACATATTTTCCAGGAATATCGTAGACATTTGTAACATGTATGTTTGTGCCAATAAATCTTGTTTTAAGAAGTTTGAGTTTGTATCATTCTGTTCCCAATACACAGGGGTTTTAGGACAGTTCAGTGGCTTCAGCTTTCATTCCCTCTCTGTGTTAAATACTAGAGATTTCTAGAAATGAAGATTTTCTAATTCACACTGGGTTTTTACATGTTCAGCAGAACAGAAAAGAGAAAAAAAACACTTCTGTTGTATAAGCAGTGAAAGAAACCTGTACAAAAATATACAAATGTTACAAAATATACACAAAAATTAACGAATGGTGAACAGGAGCAGATGAGAAAACACATGTAGTGGATTTGACCATATTCTTAATTTTCATAACGGTAACGTGGGTTTTCCCTTTAATAGGGCACGGTGAGCTCAGGGAACTTAATGCTATGAAATACTGATAGTTCATCAATTTGGTGTATGTTGGACAGATTTTAGATGAAGAAAGAAGGATTTTCAGCGAGGGGAATACAGACTCTCTTGCAGGGTCCTGCTTTGACTTGAAGCAGCTGGTGCTGGCCACTTGTGTGATGGATTAATGGGCCATGGTAACTGTTGCCATGGTTATTCCTAATGAGCAATTAAGCCCTTTGAAGGGACAAGGCTTGGAAGCTGCTTTTCTCCCCTTCCTAGTGCCTACACCTAAATTTTAAATTGCATAAGCATCACTGTAACTCCCAGGTAGCTTCACACCTTCAATGCACTGGTTCTGTGCATTGTTCAACAACTTCTCCAGTTTTGTTGCAAATTATCTCAGAACATAGAAAAAGGCACATTATTGTCCCTCCCCACCCCCAAGCCAGGTAATGTCAAGATGCCTTTTTTAAGAGAAGGTTCTTTATTAACAAAACTATGGATTTGTCCTTGGTAACACAGTGCACCTGGCAATCAATTGTGGAGACACTTGTGAGTCTAAAAGGAGACAAAGCAATCACTGATTTCATACATTGCACATTCTGGTCTGTGTGAAACAGCACATAAGGATGAAGTGAGAAAGGGAATTATGTTGACTGGTGCATGTGAACATGATATTAAAGAACACAGGAAACTGATCAAAGCCAAAGTGAGGCTTATTGAGGGAGCACAATGGGCTGATGCTCCACTTAGCACTCTTACAGCAAGGTTGTGTAATTAGCTCAGTTTTCTTGGAAAAAAATCCCAATTTCTGAGCTTATATAGAATTGCAAGTGATAAAACCGAGTGAAAATGAAGTTATGCTTAAAATAATGGAGCTATTTAGATGGATATGGAAGAATCAGTAAGATTACATGAAAAATCTACCTTTCATTCTGGTCAGATAGATTTGCATAATTCAGGGCAGTTCAGGGAGCAGAAAGAAGAACTGCTTCCTAGGGATTATTAATTTATGTGGGGTTATGAGCTCTTGGGAGATGCTTTGGAATGTTAATACAAGACAGCTCAAAGACAAAACAGTCCTTGGGGTGACTGCTTGTACACTTTGCTTTGTAAGCTGAAGTACCTGAAGGTAAGTGAATGAATAAGTGCTTGTAAGTGTTCCTGACAGTTTTAAAATTAAAAAAAACCCAAAACTCACGTGACTAAAGATGGTCAAAATTGCAGTCTGAGAAGAAAAGTTGGTAAACTAACTTGAGTTCCATATGAAAGAGAGTGAGGCAGTGGTAACTACTGTAAAGCCAAGGCAGCTTTTCTTGCCTTCCTAAGAGTTTCTATTCGAGGGAAACACAACCTTGTAACACTGCCTGTGGTTGGGCAGCTATCATCAAAAGCTCTTGCCACACTCTGCTAACCATAAACACTACATTTTACCAGGGGAATTTCCTGGCACTGAGTTATTACACTTTTAAGGCAGTTTTTAGAATGATTCTGCAGAAGTAACACCCTTATCTTCTCCCTTATCATCTGAACAGTGTAATTAGAATTTAACAGCTGTTGGCTGACTACAAAGGAAAATAAAGCCTGGTGTTTCTACATCCTGTTGGCCATAACACAGATTTGCTCTGTAGAATGTAGCCAGTGGATTTGATAATTTGACTTCTGGTACTTACCTAATGACTGGCAGGTTGTTCTTTTTGCTAGAAAATGTACAATACAGCATCAAGCTATTTACACCTTTCCTGGCTCAGCCTAGAAAACACAGTTTGAGCAGGAGCTGGAAAGGCTCCCCAATAGCCTCCTGCATGCTCCTGTGACACAATCTCTAGTAATCCATGTAGACAGTGCACTGAAAGGGCTGCCCAAATCAGGGGTGTTGCCAGCACCACACAGCCCTGCAACAACCCAGGTTTTGTTCGACTTCCCTTCTGATGATCCAAGAGAGGTACAGAAAAGAGAAAACAAAAAATTCTCACCAGTCTGAGTCAAACGGGCAGGGAGACAAGGAGGAATTCCTTTTCTCAAGTCAGACTGTCCAGTGAGTCAGTTCCATTCTGAATAGGAGGCATCTGAATTTGTCATGCCCCAAGGAACACTGGGGTTAATGGTGATTGAGGATCTGGGAATGCAAACCAGTAATTACAATGCACAGGTTGCCCTGGCAAAGAATACTTTAATCTCCTTTTAATGTCTCACTCTGAAGACACCTGCAAGCTTCAAAGTTCAATCATTTTATCAACAGGAACTTTCTGGATTAGTTTTGCCATCCTTTTACCTGCTTATCAGTCATCATTTCATAACCACACACGCTCTTGGCATGCTTCAGTCCTCCAGAAAGCTCAATCTGAGCTTCATTTCTGGGCTGGCTCTAAACCTCTTTTTATTGTTCTGCTTACTCTCTGGGCACAGTGTGTAGTTCTTACTCTTTTGTCTGCTGTTTTTCTTCAGGAAGAAACTTCTTCAGGACTGCCCATGTCCTCCTTAGGCATCCTGACAGTCCATCCATGCAGGCTTGCCAGTTCTGTCTCTTCTGATCATTGCAGTTCTCAGCTCTCTGCTCCGAGTAAAGCTTTGCCAAATGCTGTATGTGCTGGCACAAATGTTTTGGTGTCTGTATTGAAGAAACCTGAAATATCTTAATACCATACTAGAATTTCTCACAACTGCATTTACCCTCCAACCCCCATGGCAGCCATCCTAATCATCCTGTTACACCTGCTGGGTTTTCTTATCTCTTTTTCTTACCTCTATAGCTTGGGACCAACAAAATTATGATTGTTGAATCAACAGTAAGCACTATCCTCAACAATAAATTTCATCCAAATTCTCCTGCCTCTATCACCAAAACAAATCCTATTGATACATCCAGTGCCCAGCCAAATGGCAGCCAGGTGACCTGAGACACTGCCCATCAATCCCCAACAGCTTCATTTCTGTCTTTTGTTTCACTCAGAATTCTCACAGTTTGCGTGACTTTTTCTCCCCAGAAAGGTTTTTTTATACCAAATGTAAAACTTGCCTCCTGCACTTCCCAGAGGAAGCATTTCTTGACTACTCAGGCATCTCTGTTCTCTTTGAATGCCTGTTGAAAATACTATTATTTCAGTATGCCTAGGGTTGGCAGCTAGATGGAGAAAAGGCACCTTTGGATAGCTGTAAGCACAAGAATCCTCAAGGTCTGTCTTTAACACAGACAAAGAGCCAGCCCACATCCTCTGCAGCTGAGCCTACAACTTGAAACTCCATGGAGTGAGAAAGCCAAGCTTGGCTGTGTAAGTAGGGGTGCTGTTCCCATTTTGGGCTCCCCTTGCCTGTATGTAGATTTATCAGCTCTCATGTAGGATATTGAAGTGTCTTCTGGTGCCATTAAGACAAGGTATCTCTGTGTCTGAACTTGATTAAAAATGGCCTTTGGGTAGCTCATTAGTGCAGAGTTAAATGCAGTCTGAACACTTCTTCAGCCTTGTACAACACATCATGGTGTGAGCCTGGAAAAGAGAGGAAGCCAAAGGCACACAATCATTAAAAAGGACCTCTTCAGCATACAACCTGTCTGCTCCTGTTCGGCCCAGACATGAGGGAAAAGTCAAAATTCAGTCCTCTCAAACTAGCAGCTTCTATTTCTGATTGTTTTATAGATTTATTGTGGATCTTTGCAGCCCACAGCACAATCTCTGGGAGGTTTCTGTAAAGATTTCTGGAGCCACCTCTGCCCCTCAAAATACCCTGCCAAGGGTGGGCACGTGACTACATATCTGCCATGCCAGAAAGCATTTAAAGCTTTTAAACTTTCTTTCCACATAGACAAATAAGTAAATATTTAAAAAGAAATGTTTTTAAACATTTATAATAATATATATATATATAAAAAAATAATATAAATATATATAAAATATATAATATAATAAATGGTTTTAAAAGTGTCTTCATGGAGGGGAAAAACCCCAAAGAACAAAAAGGCCCATGTTTTTTGTTTCCAGCTGTCCAGCAGTGCAGCCACCTGCCTGCTGCAGCTCCCTGAAGTGACCCTGCTGGGCACAGGAGGTGTCCAGAGAGCAGAGCCACCCCATGGTGCCCAGCCTGGGAATGTCAAACAGGGGCAGCTGGTGTGGGCAGCACTGCACTGTGACAGCAGGGACACTGCCAGTCACTGCTCATTGTTCAAGTGAATTTATTTCACAAATGATGCCAACATAGGCTAAGAGGGTCAGACTCAATCTCTAATGCAATTTAAATTTGGTCACAATTTGTCTGTATGGGATTAGACTGCATTGGCTAAGCCATTCTGCTGTAACTGGCATCCATTTTAATAGTTTTTCAGAACTCTTTTCCATTTCTTGTACATCAGGTTTTTAGCTGAGGCTTCAAATTTCTCAAGTGTTTTCAAACATAACAGCATTTTTCTTTGTGGGTTTGTCATTGTCTCATTCCTCCTCTGTGCTTCATCCCACCTGTTGTTCTCTGTTTCATGGTACTGAATGAAAGTGTTCTTCCTCTTGTCTACAATAGCTATTACTTCTCGAGTTCATTAACTCTTAAATTCCCCACTTTCTCTATGGAAAAAAGAGTAATCAGATGATTTGTGTGTAGCCACAAAAGCTGCACACTTTGCCTAAGCCATCTTTGCATTATCCTGATGCTTACAGGGCTGCTTCCTGCACACTGAC